AACACATTCACTTGTGGTTAACAGAATTATGGTTTATTTAACCTAATTGTCTGCGTTCAGACATCTCACTTAACCATAAGCTAACTACGCTGGCTGGGCTCAATCTCTCCTCTGACATATATCTATTGGTACATGAATCAGATAGATTCCAGATATGACAGTAATCCATTAGGTAATAGAAAAAAATCCATTTGTTTCCAATTGAGTCCAAAATTTTTGTTGTTAAGTGAGACATTTGTTAAGTGACTTTTGACCTATTTTATGTCCTTTCTTGCCACAATTGTTAAGGGGATCATTGCAGTTGTTAAGCTAGTAACATGGTTGTAAAGCGAATCTGCCTTCCCCATTACTTTTTTCAGTGCTGCTATAATTTTGAACAGTCACTAAATGAACTGTTGTAAATTGAGGACTACCTGTATATATCAACAAATTAGTCCCACAAATGGTCCCACTCCATTCTTCTGGGACCAAAGCAAGCAGATGTTTAACTTGGAGAAGGGACCATTGCAAGTCATATAATAGTTGTCTTAAAATGTATGAGGGTTTGTTGCAAGATGATGGAGCAATTTGGTTTTTTTATTCCTTGTTCCTCCAGGAATGAGTTGGCTTAATGAGTGCCAATTAAAAAAAATGCAAAGTAGATTTCATCTAGAGCTTACAAATATTTTTTCCTGCTTGTTGTATGGAAACTGGTTGATTCTACTTCATTTGAGCCCTGATGGCATCGTGATTAGAATGCAATACTGTATTGCAGATTAGCTCTGCCTACAGTCTGGAGTTTGATCCTGACAGGATTCAAGGTTGACTCAGTCTTCCATCCTTCCAAGGTCGTTAAAAAAAAACATGCCCTAGATTGTTGGGGGCAATATGCTGACATTATAAACTGCCCAGAGAATGCTGTAAAGCACAATGGGATAGTATATAAGTCTAAGTGCTATTGCTTATTTATAAATGTGAAGGGAAGGTTTGATGGACATGAGTTGTAAACGACTTCCTGCATCATTCATAAGATTGAACAAGATCTTTCAGCTCCATTATTCTGTTTTATGAATGAGACAATATGTGGACAAAGCAGTTTCCACTGTGGAGGAATGTAGTCTGGATTCCCAGGAGGGAGGAAGTACATTCCAGAGGAACAAAAGACAGTGAAGTTTAGATAGTATGAGTGGGAGGAGGAGAGCCATAACAGCTCCTCCCTAGGAATTCTCAGAGTATATGTTTAATGGTGTAAGTAGTTTGCTTTAGTTTGGCAAGATTTCTAACTATGGGTGAGGAACAATAAAGGAAACTGCTTGGAAGAACCTTTGTGTGTCTTCCTTGATCCACAATCAAATCCTCTGGAAAAAGCTGACAGAGATTGTGGCAATAGCTGATATCTATAACTGCTTATTTATACCATTCTTGAACCATGCAAGTGTGGTTTGCTAAATATGTACAATTTTCATTTAAATTCAGCATACTTTTTACACACTAATAAAAAAACAGAATCGGCAAACCATGGATGCCTCATGAATATTTATAACAGGCAGAGACTCCAGATAGAAATAATAAAAATTCTCCATCTAGTGGACAGATGAGCTATCACATCTCTGGATCTTGGGTGCAAGGCTGACATTTATGCTGTGATAATCCAAAGCAGCAATGAGTTTGCAGTTTTTTAACAAATGAAAGGCTTCAAAGTCAGTATTAACAACAAAAAAGGTGATAGCATGCATAGTTTTCATTGGATTTTCTTGAGTTTTGCAGATAAACATAAAAAGCTTTTTGTAAGAATTTAAGAACATTAAGATTCAGCATTATATATTGATTAATCCCAACTCTTTCCCACTTGAAGACCAGGTTTTGGCATTTATGCAATATTTAAGTCTAAAAATAGTAGACATGACCACATCAATGCATGTGTTCATAAATCTCTGTGCTTTCAGGTCATTTTTCCTGATGATTAAAATTGTAAATAAGAAGATATAGTTTGAGAATGTAACTGGATTGTTTATAGCTCATTGTCCTCAGCAAATATAGGGAACTAGATATACTCAGTAAATAATGGTTCTATCAGTTATGCTTTAGTACAGGGGTGTAAAACTGCCGGCCCATGGGCCGGTTGCATCATATGGAGGCCACGCCCACCCCAACTCTGGCAATGCAAAAAAAAAATCACGATACGTTGCGACACGTCACGTGACATGGCGAGTTTGATACCCGTCCTCTAGTATGTTATGTGATTACAGATAGTCCTTGATTTATAACCATTCGTTTAGTGACTGTCCAAAGTTACAAAGGCACTGAATAAAGTGACTTACGGCTGTTTTTCACAGTGACAACATTGCAGCATCCCAACGGTCACTTGATCAAAATTCAGACATTTGGCAACTGGTTCATATGGATGATGGCTGGTGTGGCCACTTTTGCGATCTTCTGACAAGCACAGTCAAAGGGGAAGCCAGATTCAATTGTGGCTCAATTGTGATTGTAAGTCAAGAACTAACTGTATGTCTAATAATGGAATAGGAAGTAAAACTGCAACCATAACTGTAAATAGGTGCAGGCATAAGAAGATAGAGATCTGCTAGTAGATCTCTAGTGTTATTGGTAGTTTGTTCCTGATTTTCCATGATCTGACAGATGTAATTTCACTAGGATTATGTGTCACTGAATTTTTGTGAATTTTCAGATGGTTATACGTCTGCCATCATATCTTGCCACCTTATCTTTTGTCAGCTTCTTTGCAATTGGTTATTTTTTTTCCCCCATCAATCAGTGTCTTCTCCAATGACACCTGCATTCATATATTTAAACTTTATTAATAAATATTTAAATAGATAAACTTCATTTAGTACTGAGCAATATCTTCTTCCTCATGATATATTCAATAGTCTCCAGCATCATAATTCAAATTCTCTTCCTTAAGCCTTTCTGATGATCCAGCTTTCACAGCTACATGTTACAAATACAAAAACTGTAGCCTTGACAATATATACCTTTAAAGTCAATATTGATGTCTCTGCACTTTTTTCTAGAAATGACTCAGTTATTCTTCCAAATGGGGGTTTCTTTGTTTCAAGGCTACTGTCACCATTCATGTGAACTCTTCATCCTAGCAAGATAAAGTCTTTACTATTTCAACTTTTCTTCTATTTGATTATTGACACAATTTGTGGAAAGGAGGGAATATTAAGCAGCAGATAGCTTTTCACTTTTGATAAGAGATTTCAAAGGTTTTCATCACTTCCAGCCATCATAGTGTTATCATCAGCACATCTGAGTTTGTTGATATTTCTTCCAGCATTTTTAATCCCAATTTCCTCTAGTTCAGTGGTTCTCAACCTTTTTAATGCCGCAACCCCCAACCGGTCGTAAGTCAAGGACTACTCAACTGGTGCAGCACCGTTTGCAGAATGGGACTTTTGGCGGGCTCAGCAGGGCAGAGACAGCCTGGACAATTCCTATTGGCTTTTGAAAGCCAATAGAATTAGACTCTATTCAAGAGAGTCTATTCTATTGGCTTTCAAAAGCCAATAGAATAAAAGGGAGTAGCATAGCTAAGGAAAAGGGGAAAAAAATGGCGGACTGTTTTTGTTTGGCGACCCCCGTGAAATGGTCGTTCGACCCCAAATGGGGTCCCAACCCACAGGTTGAGAACCACTGCTCTAGGGTCAAGATTTCTCAAGATACGTATTTGGTATATAAACTAAGCAGATAAGATTATGTATTACAACCTTGCACACTTCTTTTGTTGTTCAGTTGTTCCATACAGGTAATCCTCGACTTATGACCACAATTAAGCCCAAAATTCCTTTGTTAAGTGAGACAGGCACCAAATATTAATAATATGATCTCAGGTCCCTCTGCCTCTTTTGAATCTGGTTTATACATCTGGCTTTTCTCATTCCATGCATTACTGAAATCTTGATGGCAAAAATATTAATTTAGTAGAAGATTATGTGTGGTTCTATTAACATTATTTTGCACTGTACTATAAACCGATCTTTTACCATCCCTTGGCCACTGCTATTTTCTATACCTACTTACAAACCACAAGTAGCAGTTTAACTGCGTCACCCTCTTGTAGGATTATAAAAGTACAGCTGGTAAATATTCAGCGCCTGCATCTTTGTTATTAGTAATATTTTATAGGGCCCTTTTGATTACTTTTGCAGAATGTTTGGCTGTAGTTCAGTAACTAAAACTTGTATGTATTAATTAATTAATTTATTTCATATATTTGATAGTTACTCCATATATTTGCACCATGTTTTTTTTTCTCCAGCAACTCTTTGCATCGTCTTTTGTCATGCTCATCATTGTCCAAATATATTTTTAGAGATTTTTTTCTAATTTTTAGAGATTTTTTTTCTAATTTTCATCTCTCTTACTATTACTCATTTGCTTGTTCTTCGCATTATTTATAGAACTCTTTGTTTCTTCTTGTTGTTCCCTGAAAAGATTTACTGAGGCAAAATTCTGTCTGTTTCTATCGCCTTTTAAATTCTGCCTTTTATTAGATATTTTCAGTATATCAACAGAATTATTTTACCTTATTTTCTGTTTTACATTTTGGGTATTTTATTTGCTTCCTCTTCAATGATACCATAAATGTCAGTCCTTCAGGCATTGTTTTTAACGAACCTAATCCATTGAATCTAATCCTTTTCTCCATTGCACAATAATTTGGAATATTTCTGAAATTATATCTTATTGGGCTGGTGATTCTATTGATTTCCTTTCATTATAATTTAGCGAGGAATTTGCAGTCTGAACTGCAGTCATCACAAGGCATTGGTTTTGTTGACTGAATGGAGCATCCTTATTTTTGCTTGTCTAAGTGTTGCTTATCAATACGATTTTGTCCAACAACCAGGAATAAGACACTCAAAAGGCTGGACAATGTTTGATTTTAAGACTGCCTGCAAGAGAACATGAAGAGAAAAAAAGAGGGCGTGTCTTCTTTTTGCCAGACGTCTGGAAACCTTGACTCAAATTAAGATCATTTCAGCAGCTGAATTCTTATCCATTTCTTGATCTGCTTTTCTTCTGTGATCTGCTTGATATTTTAATGATCCCAATTTTCTAGAACATCGGGTTAAAGAAGTCAGTCATAATTTCCTTGTGCAGTAAGAATGGACAGGACTGCAACTTAAACGCCAAACCTCTTTTGAGTAACGACTGTTTCTAAAGCTAAGGATTGCACAACAAGGTGGGCTAAACTGTGGTTATGGCCAGCGATGGGTGAATTTAACCTAAGCGAACCATTCCTTTATGGTTCAGCGTGTTATAAAAAAATAAATAAATTAGAAAATGAAGTCGAAAGCCATGGAAGTCAAGACGCCGCTTGGAGAAAGACAAAAAGTAAGCGAGGGCCACGCCCGCTTCTGGCCAACTGACAAGCAGAAGCTGCCGGGAAGTGCCGGCGCGATCGGGGATCGCTTGCTTTGGCCTACCATTGCCAGCGACGCCTGCTGAGTAGCGGCGATGGAGGGAGCGCAGGAATCGGGAAAAGGAGACGCCACCGAGAGGCTTTCGGCTCCCGCCCCGCCGGCTGAAGAAGGGGGAATCTCGCTGCACAATTTTTGCGGACGTTTAGCGGAGCACCTGGTGCACTTCCACGCCATGCGCCTGCAGGACTCGCTTTTCCTTTGGGTCGGGGATGGGCCGGAGCTCAGCAACTTGGCGGTGGCCATGTGCACCCCCCGCGTGAGTTCCGGACCTTTTGCTCCTCTGGGGTTGCAGCGTGGGGGTGGGGGTGGTAAAGGAAGTTGCAGACGATGCACATCATATTGCAAAGTGAGGTAGTTGCAGGTTGGCTCCCAACATAGGTAGCAATCATTGTCTCCGCAGATGCAAGCCGTGGTCTTTTTTTTTTTTTTTTTAACAGAGCTGTGCTGAGGTGAACTCCTCCTGCAGCTCAGCTTACAGGTAGTCCTCAATTTACGACAACAATTGAGCCCCAAAATTATGTTGCTAAGTGCTAAGTGAGAAATTGGTTAAGTGAGTTTTGCCTCATTTTATGACTTTGCCTGCCGCATTTGTTAAGTGAATCTGCTTTCCTCATTGATTTTGCTTGTCAGAAGGTTGGAAAAGGGAAATCACATGACTCGGGGACACTGCAGCCATCGTAAATCTGAGTCAGTTGTCAAGCGTCAATGTAAATCGTGTGACCATGGGGATGCTGCAACAGTCAGAAGTGTGAAAAATGGTCATAAATCCCTTTTTTAAGTGCCGTTGTAACTTTAAACAGTCACTAAACGAACTGTTGTAAGTCGAGGACTACCTGTATTTCCCCAGAGGTTGATTCCCACAATTTCCACAAGGACATCACGACCTTAAAATACTCTCGTAAGAAAAGTGTTAGAGGGTCCTGAGGAGGGGCACATCATCCCCAGCCCTTGGGATCATTTTTGTATAGGTGAGCAGGAGCAGCCCACTTTCAAATTCTTGCTAAGAAAAGAACTTAAACAGAGCCTGGTGCTCAACTCTAGGGAGGTACAACTTAACATATTTTCCTGCCTCTCTTGTACTGATTTCCCCCCCCCCCCAATGCACCTCCTGGTTTGTGGGAATGGAACACAATCAGATTCTTCAGGAAATCTGTTTTCCAACTTTCCGGCACCAAAATAAAGAATGGGTTTTTCTATTTTTTTCCCCCTTCAGGAATGGACCCTGGGATTGATCACTGAGATTGTTTGCTTTGACAGCCTCAGCAATCGTTATGGAGGCTAAGCTGTGGGTTTGTACATCACTCAGAGCTACACTGCATTATGGTTCTGTGTCATTTGGGGATGCAAGACACATTTTCTCATTTCGGTGGAGTCATAACTTGATAAGTTTGCGGGCTTATCAGTTAAGATCAGTGAATCTGATGCTATCCTAATTTTCAGGCTATGTTCATTTGATATCAGGAAACAGTTGAGCTAGGTATGTGTAGCTGCTAGCCTATCAAAGAGAAGGGTTAATGGGGGGACATGATAACTGCCTTCCAGGATTTGAGGCGCTGTCTCAGAGAAGAGGGGATTCTCCAAAGCATCAGAAGGCAGAACAAGAAGTAATGGGTAGAAACTTGTTAAAGAGAGGTACAGTCTAGAAGAAAGGAGAAACTTTCTGACAGTGAGAACAATTAATCAATGGAATTGCTTGACTCCTGTGGTTATGCGTCTTCTACATTGGAGGTTTTCAAGAACAGACTGGACAACCATTTGATTGGGATGGTATAAGACTCCTGCCTTCATCAGGGGGTTGGACTAGAAGACCTCTGAGGTACCATCCAGCCCTATGATTCTAATATATCTTAGTTTCTGAAACCAAGAGACCATAGGATTGAGCTGATATTGGTGTCAAAAAAGGCTATATATAACATTTTATGTACCAATTATCTACAATCAGTGCTTATTATTTCACAGTACTTTTTGTACAGTTTTGTTGTTGCCCAGAAGAAACTCCATTTGGCTACTGTTTTGTACTTTTTTAACAGGAGCTTTTAAAGATTGTTGGCATATATGCATAATGAGAGCAAATTATGCCTGGGAATAAAAGTAGTCATGGATGAATGTGTAAGGAGTACCTGTTATAATGGCATAGACATCTGCTCCTAATTATGATGGTGGTACAATGATGAATCATGTGCCACAATTACCTTTTGTACTTGCGTTGTGACACTGTAGACATATACCTAGGTAAGGTTTACATCCCTCATTCATCCATGGCACACATTTATAGATGGCAAAAGTCTATTGGTATATAAATATATGTGCACATTTGAATGCAGATGATACCTTCTAATTGACAGAATCTGAATGATTGCAGAGATTAATTAGATTGTGTGATGCAGTGAGGAACATGTGGTTAATGTATCAAAACCCAAGGTAGTTGTGTTTTGACAGGGAAAATGGAACAATGAATTTCAAGTGACACAGATGAATACATGATATTGTAATATGCTTTATAGACAAAAAATGTGAGGAGAATAGTTGTGGGTAGAAAATGGTGTGTTGAATGTTTGTTGAAAGAAGCAAAAATAGTTATGTATAAAACCAAGCTACTCTCCAGTTCGTTGCACAGGTAGTCCTTGACTTACAATCACAATTGGATTGGAATCTTAATCATTGAGCGATGGCGTCAGTGAGCTGTCACATGACTGTTTTGCTTAACAAATGCAATCCTGGCACTCATGGTTGTGGTCATTAAGCAATTTTGTGGGTCCTTAAGCTGATGGGAGTCCACCGTAAGGAGTCAGAGTGCCTTTAGAAACAGTCTGACAGGGAGCATTTTCAGCCCCAGAGTGGAGAGAGAGGCAAGTCTCTCTGATCAGATTGGAATTTGGAGAGAGAATTGGATTTTGGAGAGAGAATTTTCAGCACCGGAGTGGACATTTTCTTTATAAAATCCAAGCAAATTTTCAATCCCAGAGCAGAGAGACTTTCCCTGATAGCTTTCCCAGTGACTCTCTGGGGTAGCCATAAGGAGAAATTGCAAATGGTATCACATGATTGTGGGGCACTTGGTAACCAGTTGTAAGTATAAATGGTTTGCCAAATGCCCAGATCTCAATTATATGACTGCAGGGGCCCCTACAGCAGCTGTAACTTTAGGTCAGGGTTGTCAAGCTGCTGGCCCATGGGCCAGATGCGTCACGCCAAAACCACACCTACCCCATTGCTGGCAATGGGGAAAAAGTTGTAATATGTTGCGACATGTCATGTGACGTTGCTTGACACCCCTGCTTTAGGGAACAGTTATAGGAACTTTTGCTCAGCTACTCTGAATGATTGTTGAACAAATGGTTGCAAGTTAAAGATTTCCTGTAAGAGTTTGTTACGTTGGTAGGAACATAATGTTTGACACTGTGAAAACACTGCTATATAATACTGCAGAACCTGAAAGATAATTATATGTACTGTATATGCTCAAAGTTTAATTTGATTTGCCCTGCTTTCACCTCAGGCTCTTAAAGGCATTAAATCTAGTTAGATATGAGCTTTCTGCTTTGTGACCTTTCATTTTAGCACTTCTGTTCTTTTCATACATCTTTGGAATGAGGTTTGTAGAAAACAAATATTAAGTAAAAGGTTCAGGTAAAAACTGTATCTTCGGTGGCATCAGTATTAGGGAAAATTCCTTAATTATAGCAATATTTTTGCCTGAGTAGAGGATCTGTGTATGTATGAGTGCACAGAATTGCTCCTAAAACCTTTTCTTTGTTCCAGGATTCCATTCCGGCATCTACCTTACTTTTTGGCAATGCTTCTGACAACACCTCAAATTCTTTAGCTCAAAAACTAGGTATGTATGTGCATGGATTTTTAAAACTTAACACAGGGAAACGAAAAAAAATCTATGACCACATAGGTTGGGCTTAATTGACAGCCTTTGTATTTGCTGGGCATCATGATTTAAAAAATAGTGGCCCGGATCATAATAAATCTTGTGAGCTTTCACCAATCTTTGAGCATGTTTATTTTTATTGTTTTAAATAAGGGTGAGGAACTATGGCCCTTTTATGACTTGTGGACTTGAACTCCCTGAATTCCTGAGCCAGCCATGTGGAGTTGAAGTCCACAAGTCATAAAGGGGCCACAGTTCCCCACTTCTGCTTTAATTAATGCTGCTTCCCAGGTAACACCTGGGGATATTGAAAGCAATTCAATTCCTGTTTAAAATAAGCCTTTTATCCTGAAGAACTCCCCAAATGTTATGTGGGGAATTTGTCCTAAATGTAAAGCAATTACCTCCCAAACTCACATCTGTCTTCGTCAGCTTTGGAACTGGGAGAAACACATGATAGCATTTGATTTCTGCTATGTCTTCCTTCAAAGGTTGATAGACTTGTGCTTTGTTTATGTTTTAGCCAGCAAGACTAAAAAACAGATTTTTGTCAGCTATAACATTCAGAATACCGACAGTGGCTTCATACTGCTTGTAGAAAATCGTATCAAGGAGGAAATGGCAACTTTCCCAGACAAATTTTAGTTTGGGATAGTTACATATTTTGTTTTTCTAAGATTTTTTTTTTAAAGTCATGATTTTTTCTCGTTGAGTTATATATTTGGGATGGCAGAATGCATTCAGTTGGATTAAGCTTTTTTTTTGAACTAATGAATTAATCTACATATATAATAAAAGCAAAGGAAAAGGAAAGAAGTATTCAGCTCCTCAAATATTCCTGTTGGGAAAATATAGTGCAGCAATATTTGACAGATGTTGCCACCTACTGTTTCTGCTTGATATGACATAGATCTGTTTTGAATTTTCTGATCATACGTGATAGTTCTGTGGCATCCAGTCAATGATAAAATGAATCTGTTCAGTGGGAAGTATCAGATTTGAAATGGATTTGTTGCAGAATATATGCCCATAGCAAACAAAGTCAAGGAAAAAGACTTAAAACTTATAAGGGTACAGTTTTATCAGCTTCCCTAGCAATTTTTAACGGACTGATATACAATTGGATTGACTACTTTCCCGTTTTATGGGCACCAGCAGTGAGCTGGCTTACATTTTTTTTTCAGGAAAGGGGGAAACATCTAGAAGAACATCTGTGAGATGAGGCAGAAAAGGAGACACTGACTCCTTCTCAGAAAAATGAATTTCAATGTATAAAGTAAAATAGCTAGATGTAGATTGTATTATAAAGAAAACCACTTATGCTGTCAAATTAAAACAATAAACCAATATATACTTACCATATGTGCTTTGTGATTCATCCATTAAATCAATTACAAGACAAGCTACATTTCAGTTGATAAAAGTTAGAATGTTTTGCCCATCCAGGTCTATGGACCCCGTAAAACCTATGCACAGACTGCCAAGGGGCCACTGGACCCAAAGTTAAGAATCCCTGGTTTACAGTGGAAATTTCAGTGAAAGGCTTGTAAGGAATTTGTGTTCCTTATGTCACATTGGCTAACTTTCACTGCAACTGCAAGAACAAGTTTAACTCTATTTCTACAGAATTGCTGCATAATTCCTAGAGGCTATTTACTGTTTAGGGACAGGATTTACTTTTGCAGGACAAGTTTGTGTTGTTTTTTGTTTTCCAGATCTCTAAAACCTATACTTAAGAAAGTCAAATCTACCCTGTTAGATCAGTGGTTCTCAACCTTTTTAATGCCGCGACCCCCAACTGGTTGTAAGTCAAGGACTAAACCGGTCATAAGTCAAGGACTAAACTGTCGTAAATCAAGGACTATCCAACTGGTCCTAAGTCGAGGACTTTCCCTGCCCGGGAGTGCCGCGCATGCGTGGTGCCGCCCCCTGCACCGGCCGAGGCATAGTTGGCAAGCGGCAGAGACAGAGCACGCGGACCACCGGCTGGGCCACCAGCTGGCCCAGCCCAAGGGAGGTAAGGCACCCGCCGGAAAAGGAGAAAAAATGGCGGACAGCCTTGCTTGGCGACCCCCGTGAAATGGTCTATTGACCCCAAATGGGGTCGCAACCCATAGGTTGAGAACCGCTGTGTTAGATAATGGGAAAAGTATATTTAACCCAGTATTCTTTGCCTCAAGCTACCAATCAGTTGCTCTAAATCAGATCTGACTTTTTCATTTGGCTTTCGGGAGTTTTCTCTGAAAGTATAATAGCTGTATTAAAGGTATTGAAGACTTCAATAGCTGTTTTCCTTCTTATTTACATACTGCTCCAGCTGCTGAATTTTAGCAGGGCATTCTTAGCAAGGCAAGGAGTGGCATGGTGGACTAGTGGTGAAGTTGCTCACCTTGCACTTGGAAGGTTGAGAGTTTAATCCTAGCTAGTGGCAGATATTTCTGTCCTAGAGCACAAAGACAAAAATACTTGCTGTGAACTCTATGTAGGTATCAGGAAGGGCATCTGGCAAGTAAATGCTCAGCTTCATTTAGTCACCCTGATTCTACTCCGAATAGAAAAAAGGGAGGTGTTCGTGGCAAGGCAAGGGGTAGGGAGGTCTTTGTGGAAGGCCAAAAAAAAAAAAAAAAGGCAGTAGAGCATTTAGTGCTTGCCTGGTCTTGCCTAGATCTTAAGAAATCTTGCATTTCAGTGAGAGCTGTCTTGAGGAAAAGCCCAAAAGCAACTTTGGGCAAAGCAACATCTGTAATAGTGCAAAGTGGGGTAATGCCAACAAGACAGATGAGCACTAAGTCCAGCAGAAATGGAGCAACGTCTTTTATTCCTGTACATTTACATACAAAGTTGTTCAGTAGGTACAACGGGTGTAACATCATGCAGACATTTAGCTTTTAAGACTGTTCTTCAGTAGTTGATTGTTAAGCTTGTGCTATGAAGAAGCACCAACTACTCATGATAAAAAAAAAAGTACAGTAACAACGATTAGTCAAGAAAACATCATCAGAAATTGAGGGAAGGGGTGGGGATGTCATCCACTACAGACATAGCACACTACTCTGTTCCAAAAAGGTTTTCACACAGTACATTGAAAAAAATGAGGTTCTGTTAACTTTAATTTTTTAAAAAATCAAGTGTGAACCATATTCCACACTTGTCTTTCTGTCCCACCTACAGATGCAACTTGGTATGACATTCAGAGTTCATTTTAATGGCACTTCTGAATTTGGTGACTTTTTTTCTCTTTAGTTTGGCTTTAGGATCTGGCAACATAAATAGTTGGTAATTTAAACAAAAAAAAAATAGCCAACAATTCAGAATATTCATAAGAATTCATTCTTACCATGATCCACAACAAGGTTCTCTACACCATTTTCAAAATGTTTTGATACAAGCGGCACAGAAAGACTTGTAATGTTCAATTTCGATCTGAACTTTCTTGCTATTAAAAAGGTTTCTAATAAATTATTTTCAAGACTACAAACATACCTACAAAAAAAAAATGGCTGAACTTGAATTACCGAAAGCAGAACTAGAAAAATTGAAGTGAACAGAACAGATACTGATGGCCTCCCTGTTTGGGTAAATATGAGGATTTTTCTTTCTTTCTTTCTTTCTTTCTTTCTTTCTTTCTTTCTTTCTTTCTTTCTTTCTTTCTTTCTTTCTTTCTTTTTCTTTCTTTCTTTCTCTCTCTCTCTCTCTCTCTCTCTCTCTCTCTCTCTCTCTCTTTCTTTCTTTCTTTCTTTCTTTCTTTCTTTCTTTCTTCCAGGGACAGGCAGCCTGCTAGAGGTTTGTAGCTGAAAGTCTGGCTCCCATGGAGATCTTAAGAACCATAGATCTTTTCTATGAAACTGCCAAACAAGATATGCCATTTTTTTTTAAATTTGGCAAGAACCAAGGATTTGATCTGTGTTCTGTACCAGTCAAGTTTTCAGGCATTCTTGTGCTAAAGCTGGTCTTGAAATCTGTGCAACTAGAGAGCATCCCTCCCCTTTTGGTATATCCCATTGCAACAGCTTGTGGTGATGCAGCAGAAGCTGATCTGACAGAGCACATTCTGTGGTTCTGCAGATTGTTAAGCTTCAAGGCTGCTGCAGGGAAAGGGCGTAGTGGCACCGGTGTGTTGTTGCTTGGTCACCACAGGACAAAATGGCATCAGATACACGATCGGTCTCAAATGATCATTTTTAATGGAGCGTTCAAGCCATTCTCACAATATACAATGAGTATGGTAGTAGCAGTCGAACTCTACCCATGCTGCAGTATATGTGCAGACACAAGTTTCCTACCACTTCTGCTGAACCTAGACCCATTGAAAGGAATGGCCAGATGACATACTCCCATTTGCAATGGGTGACGGTGTTCTTGTTGATCAACCTTTTCTAATCTATTAGCGAAAAATATTTTTAACTCTTTTAAAACTTGGATTTAATCCATGTATTGCCATTCTGTCCCAAATGAACATTCAAACTGGCTTACCAGTTCAAAACAACAGGGAAAAAAACAGATACCACCCAGTTAAAGACAGTGTTGTGCTAAAAAGGTAAGGTGGAGAATGGATCTTCATGGTACATGACTCATTCTTGCTGGTCTCCATACAGTTTTGAAGAGCAGAAAGACCATAAAACCTGTTTTTCAGACTTAACAAGAATGAAACTATATACCATGTACCTGCAAAGTTTCACACACACTGGAAATACTAAAACATCAAAATGCTTTGCTTGGTTTGTAATTTACTGTGGCTAGAATAAAGCCCAATAAATAAATATACCTAAGTATATTTTGACAGTTTGTCAAAGTTACACACTTCTGGTTGCGTGTGTGCAATTAGCTCTAAATTAGGGGCCACCAATTTATTTATTTATTTATGAGACTTATATACCGCTTTAAGTGCAAGCACTCTCTAAGCGGTGTACACCAGTAAGCAATGTATATATATATATATATTTACATTGCCCCCAACAATCTGGGTCCTCATTTTACCTACCTCAGAAGGATGGAAGGCTGAGTCAACCTTGAGCCGGTGAAATTTGAACCGCTGACCTGCTGAACACAGTCAGCTAAAGTGGCCTGCAGTACTACACTCTAACTGCTGCGCCACCTCGGCTCTATGGATATGCTAAAGCTGTAAAAGCAGAAGACCTGCCCAAATGCTTGATAGGTTGTAATAGTTGATTTTCCAGAAACAACCTGGAGCCAAGTATGTAGTAGTCCAGCCTTAAGAAGAATACTTGAATGGGATGCTATGGAAAAATATTGCCAATGGCTTGCTATAAGCAAGCCCCAGCAATGTGCAGTTTATTTTTGGAGGAGATAGCAGCAGAGACCCATCGCAACTGTAACAAACTTCTGCGAGTCCTTGAAAATGGATCAAAGTTCATGTAGGTCAAGCTCTATGAGTAGCCTTCATAATCCAGGGCTGCACTTGAGCACATTCAGTAGAGTCCTGTGGCCCAGTGGATAATTTTATGGGCATAAAGTTTGAATTAGATGTGCAGTGTTAATTTATTAGAAACAAAACTACCTTCAACAAAAATGCTGTGAGGACTCAACTGACATTCTTCAGTGAGGCAAATTGCAAGGTAAGTTGGGCACAAATAACAAAACATTAATTCCAAATACCAGATACGGGCCAAAATAATAAAAAACCTTTTTTTAAAAAAAAATCACCAAGTGCTCCTCTCACTTTACAATATACAGTCTTCAACCATTCTCTCTCTGCTTGTTTGTAAAGTTAAGGAGCATCACATCAGAAAGTGGTGAGGATTGTAGGTGACAGAATGAATACAATAGGGACTTTGAATCATGGTAAAATGCAAGAAATTCCCTATATTAGTGCATGGTCTGTAGTAAAGACTATATGTACAGGAGTGGGGAATTTAAAAAAGCTACTCCACAGTATACAGACTGCAAAAGTGCTCTGCGTTTACTCGGAGCCTGGATGTCAATAATAAATTCCCCTCCCCAAAAACACACAAGGCCCCACTCCACCGAAAAATAAATTTATACTAGAAACTTGCTGTTCCTGATATATCACTTATAACAAGCATCATATAAAAGGCAAAAGGCGTCACACAAATTTGGCACATGAATACTGCACAATTCAAAGGGCCTTACAGTATTTTTTCAATGTGATGTCAAAGAGATTAATGGAGGAGGGGTGGTCTGTTGTTAAAACCAGACAGGTTATTAGAGTGTGCAAAAAAAAAAAAAAAAAAAAGCTGGAAAAACAAGTTCTACTGAGGTGAACACAGCAGTAGCAACTGGGGAAAATCCACAGTCGTGACGCTGAACAACCCAGTTCCTTTATGTTTTCCTCCTCATCAGAGTGTTTACAAAGGATTCCCCCATGCTTTTCATTCTGTGTATGAGAGTTAGCAGCTTTATGATATTATTTCTCTTTTCAAGTATTTCAAAAATCTCATCTCTTCTGCAGAACCATTTTGCCCATCAACATTGGAAGCTATGTGATACTTGCTAATGGATGCAGGTCTATCTACACCAGAGATGGGGAACTATGGCCCTTTTATGACTTGTGAACTTCAACTCCCAGAATTCCTGAACCAGGATTCTGGGAGTTGAAGTCTACAAGTCATAAAGGAGCCATGGTTCCCCACTTCTGATCTACACAAAACAAATGTGACAGGAGAACGAAGAAGATACACAGAGAAGTCAACAGACAATATAGAGAAAGAAAGGGGCATAACAAGGATGGGTGCACAAAAGTGGGTCCTTACACTTTACCCACAAATGCAAAATATACATCAAACAAAATGACCACCAAGTGAATACATCACCAAATTGGCTGATGTGTTCGTTTAAATGGCAGTCCTGTCGGGCAATCAGTCGCGTGATGGTGATGTTAGTAAAAAGGGAGTAGGAATAGTTTAATCAGCCACAAGTTCAGATCATCTTGTGTGAAGCTGACTTTGTGTGACTCTTGCGTAAGAAGCACTGCTGAAACAGCCAAGGCTTGAGCAAGAGCTGAGATTTAAACAGCCAGCAGATATTATTGATGAATCTGTGGGAAAAAGGAAGGAAGAGATGTTCTGTTTCATTAGCTTCCTGCTCTTAAACGCAGCTGATGCAGAAGCAGATCCTGCTGAGTTTCAAGAGCAGTTACCTTCAGGTTTATTTAGGACCAGGGAGCTAAGAATCTGTTTTCAACCCCAGTAATCATATGGGTCTTGGCTTTTATTTATTGTAGGGTAAAAAGGAAGCATCCTACAAGAGCACTTTGGATTTTGTGTTGGTGCACTTATGGTGGCCATTTTGTAAGGTTTCAATAGTAAAAAGGGTAGCTGGCTGACAATATATGCAACCTAGAAAAAACTACTTCAGATGTCACATGGAGGGCGCTCCAAAATCTTCTTAAAGGGGCCTTTTCAATTGCTTGCTTCTCAGTTCTACCTATATTTTACCCCCTAAACTTGATCTTTAAGTCATTGCATTCATCCATCAGAATCAAATAGTCCTTAGAACAAGGACGATGATGTTGGGGCTGGCTAGAATCTCAGCTCATGGCTTCTGGAACAACCAGTAATTATTTTGCCATCATTTCCCCCCTTTCAGCTTGGAGGTAATTTTCTAAAAAGCACTACTTCTTTCTTTCAAGGTTAAAAAATAATTCTGGATAGTGTTGTTTATTGAGTAGGGCCTTTTGAAATGGCTTCTTGTTCTTAATCAGCAGACTTTTAAAAGAAGCATCAATAAAGATCTTTCCCACTTAAAAATCCTATCCATTTAACCTTTTCTTGAAAAAAAAAATTACCTCTGTGTGCAGTGCTTTTTTTTTTTTTTTTACTGTAAACAGCAATTTACATGTGGATTCCTCAACTTCGAAATTAAAAGCTGTTAAAAATATCCTAGGGCCTCTGATGCTAACTTTTCTTTCTGATACTTAAAGCACAGTTGGAATTTAGCTTTATGTGCACACTTTCACAGTAGGTAGGACTAGGACAGGGGTAGGCAACCTTGGTTCTTTTATGACTCGTGGACTTCAACTCCCAGAATTCCTGAGACAGCATAGCTGACTCAGGAATTCTAAAAGTCCACGAGTCATAAAAGAGCCAAGGTTGCCTACCCCTGGACTAAGAAATTGGAAGGAGGAGATATTAATTATCTGGAGAGATCAAGGGAAAAAAAAAGATGACTCAAAATGTCAGTAGCCAACAAATCCATTGTTGCAGCAAGAGATGCCTCATACCTCTAGTAAAAACAAAATAAACAGTCAAATGAAACGAAAACCATACCACCTCATGATTTTTTTTCCTGGAATGGTTGCTTTTCTTGAGAATAACATGGCTTCATGTTTATGGTCAACAAGAGAAGAACAGAATAAAGTGCTTCATGGGGAAAATCATCAAAATAAATAGAACTATTTCATGGCAGGAAGAACATAAATGGACAGTGATCTCCAGCCAGTTTTTTTCTGAAGATGTATTCCCCCTCCCCAATAACTGTACCCAAAAGCAATTTGTATCCCCATCACAGATTCCTAGAAGTGGCTTTAGCAGCAGAGTCTAATTTCCCTGTATGTATCCATCCCTTCTTCTCACTGGTTTGTAAATCTTGGATGAGAAGCAAACCCACAGCTAAATGCTCCTGCCCCTTCTCCTCCTACATTGCTTTCATCCCGTTGGCAGTGACGGTCTCGGTCACCCCATCGTTCACGGTTGCTGAATCATGGAGGCCAGAGTAATCTTTAAGTTCAGAGTTCGTCAGCAGCAGGGGCTGCTCCCCCTTCTTATGCGGTAGGAGAGGCTGCCGGGTATAATGTTCACCATCTGGAATGTTCTCTGGCAGCCTCTGGTTTTTGCTCTCTGGCAAGAGGAGAATGCAGATAATGCAGATGAGGGTGCAACAAGCAAAAATCACATGGTGGAGGAAATAGCCTTTCTGGTTGTGAAGTTCCATGATGGGCGCGGTCAGCATCCCAAAGCCCGCACTAGCCAGGACGAGGCCAAGGCCACCACCCCTGTGGAAGCAAGCATAGTTCTTCAGTATAGGCCAATTGTCCAAGAAATATAATAAAACAGAATAGCTGCGCTTGGACACCTGCTTTCCTGGTACAGTCCCTCCTTATCTCTGAATAGGGCTACTTTATCTAATATTTTTGTTTAACATCAAATATATACAAATGTGGGTTTTTTTAACACCAAAAAACTCAACACAATTTGCAACCATTGAAGGATTACACTAAAACTATAAGAACATGGAACAGAACCCTTTAATTACTTAACTGAATTATAATAATGATGGCAACTAGTCATCCCCAACAATTTTTCCAATATCTGCCCGGAATATGAAAGTCACCCAACTGTATCCTTGACCTCAATACAAGCCAAGGAACTAGTCCTTTTACCTATTGACTTTTTAAAAATATATTTGGTTATACAGTACAGGAAAGAACCAAAGATGGACCATAGCCAAGCCTGAGGACTTATGTACACGCTTGTTCTTCTGCCAAGGTCGGCATGGGTCATAAAAGCAAAAGGAGTAACCAATTGGCTAATAAGTGACAATAACTGACAACAACTTGCAACAGAAACAGTCATGGAATCCGAACATTTCCTTTCAAGAAATATTTTGAGAAATCAAATGAATTTTTTACTCAAAGTTTTATTGTGCCAAGTCTGTTACTTAGAAGTTTAATACTCTCTATCCCTGTGATTCATTGTATATGTATACTTTGTACATCTTTGAATAAAACCAAACGGTTGCATATACGGTAGGTGAAAATTACTTCATAACCCAGTTCTAGCAATAATCAGCAGAAATGAGGAAGTTTCACAATAAACTGTTATGCTGTCTGCTTTAAATCTGCATTTATCAGGTAACAAACAATAGGCAAAATATGTTATTAAAACTAGTAGAATAACTTAAAATGCCCCCCCCCCTTTCTGTGTACTTTATATGTGGGCATGCATTAAGTATTCTTCTGTTCCTCTGACAAATCTTTGTTTTCTAGCCTACCAAAAACTGAAACTTGGAGTTTATGTAATTCTTTGTGTTATCACTAGAGAGCAAGCTTTCCTCAAATTTATTTTACAGGCTATATATATATATATATATATATATATATATATATATATATATATATATATATATATATATATATATTCTCCTGGTGGTCACATTTTTATATATTTATTTTACAGGCAATATATATATATATATATATATATATTCTCCTGGTGGTCGCATTTATATATATATATATTCTAAGTGTGACTGTCTGGATTTAACACATTATTCAGAATAAAACCATTCTTTGATCAAACAGTGGAAGACAGAACAATTTCTATTTCCATACTCTCCCTGAATTCAGATACTTTTGTTGTGTCCACATTTACTTATCTTTTATCTAAGATCAGCCTCCAAAGTTTTTTTTCCTTTTGGAAGGAAGGCACCAAATAAATGTATTTGCCCTTTTCTCCATTGTTCTTTTCTCTCTCGGTAATTCTCCTCTTGAGATCTCACATTTCATCACCTTTTTATCACACTGTTTCATCTCCTGAAATTCAGTCTGTGGAATTTATTATCTATTGGCTTCTAGTAATGCTTAAAGTCAGGAATCTGTACTAATATATTGGCTTTGTCAGGATTCTAAGATAGGCTTCTTTGGTGAAAAATATTTTTATTCATATATTCACACTTTAGGGAGTTTCCAAAAGCTGCTCCTATACTTTCATGGAATATACACATATACTTCAGTGGAATATGGAATATGAATGAGAATCACGCCCAAGTAATTTCAGGGATTACTCTCTCATACAGCCTAAATCCAGGGGTAGGCAACCTTGGCTCTTTTATGACTCATGGACTTCAACTCCCAGAATTCCTGAGCCAGCCATGCTGAGGGAAAAGAGAGAGGTTTCCATGCTGAGCCATGCTGGCTCAGGAATTCTGGGAATTGAAGTCCACGAGTCGTAAAAGAGCCAAGGTTGCCTACCCCTGGCCTAAATGCTCTCTCTCTCTCTCTCTCTCTCTCTCTCTCTCTCTCTCTCTCTCTCTCTCTCTCTCTCTCTCTCTCTCTCTCTCACTTTCTGAAATTACTTAGGAGTGGATTCTCTTTCAGCTTCCTTTGATTTTTCTGCTTGCCCTCTTTGTACAAGCAACAAAATAAAGGGCAAAATAAACCCAGGTTTTTCTATCAGGAATGAAGAGAGAAAATGTGGTGTAGTGATGAAGGGGCTGGACTAAAAACAAGGAGAGCCAAGTTCTGGTCCTCCCCTGGGACAGAACTATGACCTGGGGCCATCACCCTCTCCATCCAAATCAGTAAGGCAGGTGAAAAGCACAGTCCTTGTCACATCACACACTGATCAGCTTCACCGAAAGACAGAGGCGAGTGTAGTGCAAAACAAGTGGGCTGTGCAACTGAGCACACAAAAGCTAAGAAGAACAGATTCTTAGCTGAGACATTTTCGATTTTGTTCCTTTTGCCCAGAATCCAGTCTGGGCAAAGAGACTGAGAAATGTTTCAAATGGGAAAGGCACAGAGGAACATAGTTTCTTACCACCTGTGCTCTTGCTGAACCTTTTTCTTCCCTTATAAATATCTCATTCTATTAAAAAGAATTCTCCTTTCAATAACCAAAATACACAGTTATTTCACACACACAAATTACTACAGGAGGTTTAGGGTATTCACTTTACTAAGTATTTGAAAGCATGCTTATTATCAACCCCTTGCAATGGCGAATTAGGATTCTTTGGAGATGTTTAAGTGCTTAGCAGCTAGAAGCAGGAAAAAGCAATCAGAATTAGAGGATCAGTATCTATCTTGGGTGGAGAATTATGGCCCTTTTATGACTTGTGGATTTCAGCTCCCAGAATTCCTGAACTAGCCAGGATACCCAGAATTCTGGGTGCTTAAGTCCACAAGTCATAAAAGGGCCATAATTCTCCACCCAAGATCTTCTAATTCTGATTGCTTTTTCCTGCTCCTAGCTACTAAGCACTTAAACATCTCTGAAGAATCCTAATTCCCCATTGCATAAGTTATAAAGGGGCCATAGGTTCCTCACCTCTGATCTATCTGAATGGGTGAGACTGTATCAAAGGATCTCTACACTTTAGTCTGAAGTTGTTCAGACTAAACACAAGTTTTAATAAATGTCATTAATTGCCCCTCTAGTCAATACCTTTGATTTTTGAAAGTTTAAAAATGTTTTTATGAACTTATCTTCATCAAATTTAGAGCCAGTGTATTATACAATTGAGGGAAATTAACAGGAAAAATCACACTCAGAAACACAATTTTAATGATGCTGGTTTGTTGTACAGGATAGGGTATTGAGAAGATTTTAGATTTGAGTTATGTCGTTCTTGAAAATCAAAGTGGGCTTATATCCCAAAATAAACCTAAAAATATTTTCCTAATAACTTTAGCAAGAAAATAATTTAATATTTTATACCCTTCAATTTTTTCCTTTTATCAAAACTTAATCCTCTCCCCTCCAATATTAATTTGATTTACTACAAAGTTATGTAATAACAGTATGCAAAAATTGTATATACATCATCTAATATTTACAATGCTCCATGACTACAGTATTTATGATAATAATACAGATGCAAAAATCTAATATAGCTGCTAATATCTCATTTGCTGCAGGCAAAATAACAACAATAATACATTTGCTAAAGGTATTGGAACAGCTTACGTTCCATGATGATATCTTTAACACATCCACATTTGCCTATTCCAGGTCCTTGAGAAGGACTTGGTAGATCAGTGGTTCTCAACCTTTCTAATGCCATGACCCCATAATACAGTTCCCCATGTTGTGGTGACCCCCAACCACTTATACATCACCAGGTGCCAGGGGCGTGGCCAAAGAAAAGGGGAAAAAAATGGCGGACAGCCTTGTTTGGCGACCCCCGTGAAATGGTCGTTCGACCCCAAATGGGGTCCCGACCCACAGGTTGAGAACCACTGTGGTAGATGGATAAAGATGCCAAATCCAGTCTGAACGTTTGGCTGACTGCTTGACAAGCAACAACAGTAATAGCAGTAGGAGCAGGAGCACTGGTACTACCTGGAACAATGCATGCATTACAATTTCTTTAACTATCCTAAATGTTTGGAAAAGATCTGACAGTCAAAAGTACGAAATCCAATCAGAGATATCTGGAGGGACAAATCGAGAGGGATGATTGGTCCCTAGCCAACTTACCATGGGACAACTTGCCATGGCCAACTCACCGTGGGACAATTTGCTGCAGGACAATTCAACAATTCAACTTAATTATTTAAAATAATTAAAACATTCTTTAAATTTTTGTCATTTGCATTTAATTTTGTCCCTCCTTTGGCACCCTTTCTTTAATGCTTCTATTTCACCATTTCTTCGATATTAGTGTAACTCTTGTCCCGTGGCAAGTTGTCCCGCAGTGAGTTGGCGAGTTTGCCGTGGCAAATTATCGTAGACCTGACTGGTCCAATGTCACCCAGATGGCTCATATGCCTATGGGATGACAAGGTCCTGGGTCTCTCTCCAAGCCTAGTCAGTCCCTGAACCATTACACTACATTGCCTCTCCTTCAGTGAAGCTTCCTCTGCAGATTATATCCACTAGACCAGTGTTTCTCAATCTTGACAATTTTAAGGCATGTGGACTTCAACTCCCAGAATTCCACAGCCAGCATTGCTGGCTGTGGAATTCTGGGAGTTGAAGTCCACATGCCTTAAAATCGTCAAGGTTGAGAAACACTGCACTAGACCATGGGGTCGAACTCGATTGTGTCACGTGACGTGGCGTGACATATTGTGACATTTTTTGCCTTTGCGGAGCCAGGATGGGCGTGGCCTGCACATGATGCATCCAACCTGTGGGCTGCCAGTTTGACACCCCTGCACCAGATGATGCAAGATCTCACCAAAGCAGTAATAGTCATAAAGCGCCCGGCAGCTGCCACCAAAACCTGGACAGAGCATTCAACCACTAGCAATAAAATTATGAAATCCACCTTTATTTTATACAAAAATCATTATACTTTTGTCCAAGGAACTCAAGCCATCACATAGCCCTCCAAGAAACAATGCCTCGTGTTTTTCCTCTTGCAACAGTACAATGACTCTGCAAATCACATGGTGGAGAGAGGGAGTTTAAAATTTACTGATAAGAGAATATTAGAACAATGTATGCAACAATCTGATTTCATCATTATGAATTGATTAAAAGTGTACATATTGCTTCTTATGTAAACACTCCTGTAATGGTCCACCACAAAAGTGTAAACAATAAAACAAGCAGGTAAAAAGAGCTAACAGGACATGCCAAATGTTTGGTTTGCCAATATTCTGAAGAACACTACGGCATGGAGAAGACCTTTTAAAAAGTATACGGTTGTGATGATCCCTTCAAAAATCAGCAATTTGATTGGATTAGAAGACAAGGACCAAGGAGAAACAGATTAAACTTTCTATTAAACTAAAAAGCTTCCTGAATATTTTTATTATTTTTATTAAGCCTGTTAATTCATTGGTAACTGAAGCCTTCGCTGTTCCCCAAGCTCAAATCATTTTATGAGGCTCAAAGAGACACTGGGAGAACTATGTACACTGACTGGAATATAAGTGAAACAGAAATAAAAGAGAGATGCAGAGGACAACTGGAGAATAACCTCAACCATTTCCAACTATAGCAAACAGTAGCCAGCTTTCCTTTCATTACCTTAAAGTAGGGGTGTCAAACTTGCAACATCACGCGACGTGTCGTTACGTATCACAACTTTTTCCCCATTGCCTGCAATGGGGTGGGCGCAGTTTCGGCATGACGCATCCAGCCCGTGAGCTGGCAGTTTGACACCCCTGCCTTAAAGGAAGAAAGCTACTGTATGGACTAATCACAGGTGGTATGCAAAACAACAAAACAATGTCCTTACTAGTTTTTGGAAGTTTACATAATAATCAAAAGACCTAGTTGCCCCAAAATATATCAACCCTAAAACTAGTTGATCAAAGGATCAACTTCTACATAAGGGTGGAATTTCAGAAATGTCTTCCCTTCCTAGAATAAACTCTTATCAAAATACCTTATTACTGTTGGGGTGATCTCTGCACAGAAGAATACACTGAGGCTTCCAACTGCGTGCGATGAAAACATCCCCACGATGGAAAACGCAATGGAGAATTTGTCCTTTACGGTGTCACTCATACCTATTTAGAAACATGAAAATATGCCATTTGAATTCGGCTCTCTAGGACCCACAGCTCCCTGTTTCAAAATGCCCCACTACCAAACACAACTGTTGGCTCTTGTTGTTCTCATTTAGGAGAGTGTAATGAAGAGGAAGTGTAAGGTAACATGAGGGCCATTATGCACTTCCTTTTGCCTTTGTGAATTAGAGATATATGCCCAAGGGGGGGGGGAGAGAAAAAAACTTGGAATGTATCTGACAGTGATGGGATATGTAACATATTTATTTGAGTTAAAATGACAAGCTGTAAGAATGCCCTTTTTTCATTTTTGAAATTGTTGACTGAATCTCATCCGAAGAGAGAGGGGATTTGGTGCCTTTGAATCAGTGTTGACTGCTGATGACTGCCTGGACTAATTCCTGCAGTTTTCTTGGCAAGGTTTTGGAAGTGGCTTGCCATTGTCTTCTTCCCAGGGCTGAGAAGGTATGACTGGTCCAAGGCCACCCAGTTGGCTTTGTGGCTAAGCTGGGACTAGAACTCCACAGTGTCCTGGTTTCTTGGCCAGCACCTTAACCGTGACACCAAATTATCTCTCTTATCTCTCATCTTAAGTACGGAGAGATAAACCTGCTTTTTACCACTGAAAATAAAAGTGACCTCCCATTCTCATTAATATGATTAATCTAAAGAGAAAAAAACACAACATAGTTACACATGCAGGTGAAATATGCCTTTGGGCTCAAGAAATAGATACTTCTATGCCATTAAAATCAAGGCTGTGCAAATGCAGGAGCTGAGCCTGTCCAAGGATATGCTCCGAAAAAGAGACTCAGCCAGGGCAAAGTCTAAACTTGATTCAATTAAATTTACATTTGATTAAAATTACACATTAATATTACAGATGTTGTTATAGTTAGTTATTTCCCATACGTTTGATGTTTTTCCCCATTGTGTTGCATGGAATGCTGTGAGAGCTTGGAGGGGGTGGTGCCTTGACTAAAAGATTTCTGCCTGTTCACCTGATTTAAAAGCATGCTTGTTGGGGAAGTTAAAACACAACAACAAGTAATATTAAATGGAACCGATGGACAAAAGCTACGCTGAAATAAGGAGGAGATATGGGTGAAATAGGATTTCCTCAAAGTTGGCTAACAGTGCTTAAAATGGTTGAAATGTACAAGAAGATTGATTAAAATTAAATGAATCACATTATAAAATTAATCTGGAAACTGTACCTGAGTCTGGAAGTTTAGTGTATTTTCCTATCACTGGATTCCAAATGATAAGAAGATTAAAACATGGGAAACAGAAAAAGAAAAAAGAACACATGAAGAAAAACACTCATCCAATAACAGTTGTTTTAAAAAGTTACAGTGTAGAATTGCTCCTCTAATTACCCTAGCACATTTGTTGTTTAATGATTTGATAAAGTGGAAATATATTGTTTTCCCAGATGGTCTGGCCTGCCATTTACCAGATAAAAAGATAGAATTTAATGAGATGATAACAGCAAACTGCATAATGGTGAAGGATTCCAGGCCCAGAATTAATGCAAAGGCTCAACAAAAGCTTTTATATTGATAATGTAGAGAAAATAGAGAGAGAAAACCAGACAGAAACAGATTCAGTATTAAAAAGCAAAACTCTTGAGAATTTTAGGCAAGTTTTACTGGAAGGGACCTCCCACAAAATCCTGTTATTGTAAATCTTAGGACTCAACCTTTTGTGAATGCCTTCAGATGGAAACTGATCCCTACTTCTTTTCCTGTTTCTCAAGACATCTTTGAATTAGTTCAATATTATTTTATGCAACACTATGTATATTATATACAGATAGGTAACGTATACAGATATATTATATTACACATCGCTATGTAATCTAACTGGATATAAAATTTTACAGAGCTGCTTTGCTGTCATTTGCATTTATATGAAGATAACATTTCCTTGGAGTTAAGCTTGACCTGTGTCTCTCTACATGGATAATATCCATGCAGTTGAAAAACAGAATGGAAGTTGTTTGTTATTGTCTTCTTTCAAAGAAGTGTTTCCCAGTCTACCGTAGAGACTGGAACTCTCTAATGTTCTTCCTTCCATGTATGAAATGTCCACAATCCTGCTTAGGTTCTGAGTCCGTAAAAAACATCCACATCCATCTGCTAAGAGCTATATGTGGTATCTTCAAAGTTTGATGTAGGCATAAATCGCATGGATCTTCTGTTAGGATATGCCTTCCAAAAGCCTGGTGCCCTATTTCATTATATCTGTCATCCACAGAATCACCTGATCAAAACAATCTCAGAGGCATTATTTAAAAAACACACAAGGCCAACATTAATTTAGGCTTTGAAAAGAGAAATGGTATTGGACTACAAGTAGAGATTAAAGGTGAATCTGGGTCACTATGATCTGCTAATGGTTAGTTATAGATGAGGATTTTGTGGGATCTCACAATCTCAGTATCTGCTCATCAGCCAAATTCAAATTAACACAAAAGTAGTTGAGATGTCTTCCATTAAAAGTAACATAACGTCTAAGTCCCAGAATAGTTCTGGCAAAGATGGAAATGTGTCATCAACCAATATTTTCTTTCTCTCCAATCTCTGAATTTATCCAGACTAGACACAGACTATGCTAGAAAATAAATCTTGCAGAGATGCAAGATTTGGCTATATGTGATGCAATCTGAACTGTGCAACTGAACTATAAAAAATGACAACCTTGAATAAAAAAGAGATGGATATAACTAGCAACTGTAAAACCACAATTACAAGGGGCGCAACTATCACTTTATAATTTGTTCTTTCTCTCAGAAGGAAGCATTTGGAGTGTGTGCACACATTGCATGAGCCTTCTAGCTAGTGGGATGTCAGTATTTTGGCTTATAAGGTGGTACTCAGAGATCCTAGCCTGCATAGGGTAGTTTGCCATACCTAGGATAAAACTGGCATTTGTGGTACCCGGACCAAAATACCAAACCAAATATACAAGTATAGAGAAGCAGTATTTGGTAATAGACATTTGATGTGAGGAATGAAAGGCTATCAAAAGAAGTAAAAATGGCTACATATTGGAATGTGCTTCTGCTTCGTATATGTGAGAACAGGGTAGGGCAAGGGAAACACAGTGTAAACTGAATGCAGTGGAAATAGGGTTCTTAGTGTGCATGCAAAAGAAGAAAAGATTGGGTCAGGATTGAGTGGGTGGTGACTGAATGTGGACTGAATGCAAAACTCAATGAGCAGTATGACAAACGTATGTTGGTGGTTTGGTCATGCAGAAAACGCAAAACAAATCACAAAGCAAATATATGAAGAGGGAATGGATCGAGAAGAAAATGAAACCAAAGAAAGTCATGCTTGGATAGAGTTCAGAAAATCCTGAAAATTTCTCAGGAGCAAAAGGCAATGTATGAAGAAGTGAATGGATATGCTAGAAGTGAGGAATGTTTGCAAAGACAGAAAGATATGGAGGATTGTAGGGAATGATGTTGACGTACAATAATTCAACTATGCTTCCCTTTCTTTTCATTTATCACGTACTTTTAATGTAAGTTGTTCAATGTTTCATACTTTTTTCTGAGCTTTGCATAATGATGCTTTCCCCCAAAGGGTAAGATATATATGAAAGGCTCTGTAATTGAAAATGAGTTTGCATAGGAAGCAAATGGAGAAACCAGAAAGATTAAAAAAGGCCTGCTTTGTTTTGTTACAATGAGATCCAGTCTGTTTATTCACACTCCAAGTTCTTAGAATTTTCTGCCTTTAATTATAAAATGTTACAATTTTAAAATCTAATGCTGGTGACAGTGTGACTCAATTGTAGCATATGGATAACCCTCAGAAATATAAGATGAAGGAAGTCTCCATTGGAAGAGACTTGATAAAGGTAATCCTTGTTTAGACACCACACTGGAGCTGGCAACCTGGTTGTTAAGTGAAGTGGTCACTAAGCGAAATTGTAACTGCGCTTATGATGTTGCTTCTGTTTTCCTTTGCTTTACCGCAGAGGTTGTAAATGCTAGATTGTTCATTAAGTCACTTTTCCATCCCTGACATAACTGAAACTGGTCATTGAATGAGGTAGTTATTAAAAGAGGATTACCTAAAGTGGAAGTTATATAGTAAAACAGCAAGGATGGCCTAAGGCTGTATCATGCCTGAGGCACATTGCCAAATAAAGTAACCAGTTAGATGAAAGCCTTCTTTACTTCAGCACACAAGCAATGGGCCAGCATCCTCCGTGTAACTGATAGCTAACATTAACTTCAAGGGTGCAAGTAAAACTGCATAACACACAGTATTTCTAATGTTTTGCTACTGCTTCACCCACTCCTTTCTTCAGCATCTGTCACCAGAGTCAGCTGCTTCATTTTGCTTAATGACAGAGCCCTCTATATCAGGGGTCTTCAAACTTGTCCCTTTTATGACTTGTGGACTTCAGCTCCCAGAATTTCTCAGCCAGGCACGCTGGCCGAGGAATTCTGGGAGTTGAAGTCCACAAGTCATAAAAGGGCCAGGTTTGAAGACCCCTGGTCTATAACCTTACTGGAAGTTAAATTGGCAAGATGGGCAACCAACTACTATCAAGAAGACAAGGTAATATATAGAGGCTATATTAAGCTTTGTAAAAAGAAAGGTCTAAAAAAATGTACACATTTGCACTGTTCCTTCTCTCCCCCCCCCCTTTTTTTTTAATTCATAATCAGGGCTTGTGATGGTTCTCTTATTTTTCAGGTTTATTACTACAAACTAAGGGTAGTAATAAACCTGAAACCCTGAGATAATCTGAAAGTCAGGACCCAGTGAATCTGAACTACGTTTTGCACTAGCTAGATGCTGACACTCACAGTTGAGAAGGCCCAGTTGTAAAAGAGAAGCCAGAGCAGTGAGGATCATGAAGAGCAGGAGACCCCCTCTTCTTCCGAGAAAACCAACCACTGGGCACATAGCCAGGCAGGACACCAGAGTGATGCTGGCCATGGTGTAATAGTCTACATAAAAATTGTTGGTGAAGGACATCTTATCTTCATGACCCATCATACTCTTTGCAAAGCAGTGATGTATTCCATATCCCGTCAGCCTGTAAGAGACAACATGTGACAAATAAGAGGAGCCATTCTTTTATGACCACACAGCAAATGATTACTTAGAACTATCAGGCTGGACTTAGCTCAATCCCAAAGAAATAGATTTGTTTTTTCAAGAGTCTTGGGGGAAACGGGACCCTGAATGATGTAGTTCTCCCATTTGCTTGGGATGCCAGGATCTAATTTATCTTTACCAAACCAGAATTATTCTAAAAACATCTAGGAGAGCTTGTGGACCTCTACGTGCCAAGACTTAACACGCAAGCAACGGTGCCATGCAATTCAAACCACCTACATGAGAAGTCTCTCTCCTGTGGAAAAAGACAGTTGCAATATCCAAGCAACTTGCTACAAGAAAAGTACATAAATAAACGTGGATCCCAAATATTTGCTTAGATTCATGATGGAACAATAATTCTGCTCAATATATCTGTACTGAGCAGAATTATTTTCCATCATGAATCTAAGCAAATCTTGGCATGGAGCAGCAACAATTTGCAATTAGTAGTACCTGGTAGGAATAATACTAATAATACTAATACTAATACTACTAATAATAAAAAAGTTGGAAGGGACCTTGGAGGTCATCTAGTCCAGGGCTTTTCAACCTTTTCACCCATTGTACCACTTTTAGGATATGGCAACATTTGAGTACCACCAGTCGTCTAGCAAGGTGTCAAAAACCTGATGACCCCCCCAAAAAAGTGATAAAGTACAGGTAGTCCTCGACTTACAACACTTCGCTTAGTGACTGTTCGAAGTTACAATGGCACTGGAAAAAGTGCCCCCCCAAGTCACAGCCAAGCAAGATGCCTGCCCGTCCGGTGTGCTCTTCCTCCTGTCCGAGGTTTTCATTGTTGTGAGCATTTCTGTTGAGGATTGGAAGCGGGGTGGGGTGGGGGGGTGTTTGGTTTTTATTCCCCCTATCTGCTGGGTGGTTGCAGCAGGTTTTGGTCACTCCACATGACCCTGGGACACTATGACTGTCATAAATATGAATCAGTTGCCAAGCAACAAGACCCTGGAGGTGCTGCAACATTCCGGCTGATTGGCATTTCTTCTGGGCTCAGCAGAAGTGCCAGGATCAGCGCTGAGCTCCAGCTCGAGCCTGGCACTGATCCTGGCGCTTCCACTGAACCCTGACAGCCCTACAGCTCCAGCCATCTCTCGCTCAGGCTTGTGCGGTGCTGCTACCGGTTCAGCTCATTCCCCTCCCCCACTACCACTTTTCTAGGATGGTCGCGTACCACCTGCCAGGTGCCAATGTACCACAGGTGGTACCCGTACCACTGGTTGAAAAGCCCTGATCTAGTCCAACCCCCTGCTCAGGCAGGAAACCCTATACCAGTCTCTTCTTAAAAACTTCCAGTGTTGGAGCATTCACCGCTTCTGGAGGCAGGTTGTTCCACTGGTTAATTTTTCTAACTGTCAGGAAGTTTCTCCTTAGTTCTAGGTTGCTTCTCTCCTTGGTTAGTTTAGAATCTTTTTTTTAATCTTTAGTGTCTGATATCTGCTGGTATTAAATATCCAAAGCTGTGAAAACCCATATTAAAACATAAATATTCTAGGACATGCTTATGTTATGCAGATAAAATGAACTGCATTGTTTGCATAATCTACTGAACTCCTCCTTAGCTAGGGAAAGAGCGAGAAACAGTGCAGAATAAAGAAATCACGTCCATAAGAAATGAGCTACTTTTTTCAGCATTATTTCACCAATCATGGACCAAATCTTGGAAGCCAATGTTCACAACCAAGAGGGACTATAAACTTGCTTTTAAATATATATTTTTTAAAAAGCATGGTTTTAAATAATGGATTCTCCCTTCAATACTAAAAAATATTTTTCTACTCTAGAGAAGAACTACAGAATCTAAAGGCTAATGTGAAGTCATATACCATTAGGTGGTGCACAATCTTATTTCATTTCATACTAAAATATGAATACTGAAAAGCTATCTTGCCATGAGCCTCAGTTTCTTTCCCACAATGAACAATTTACATTAGATTAGAGCAGTGGTTCTCAACCTGTGGATCGACACCCCATTTGGGGTCAAATGACCATTTCATGGGGGTCGCCAAACCATGCTGTCCGCCATTTTTTTCCCTTTTCCCTAGCTGTCCTACTCCCTCTTATTGGTGGCCACACCCACTTGGGGGTCACCACAACATGGGGAACTGTATTATGGGGTCACGGCATTAGAAAGGTTGAGAACCACTGGATTAGAGCATCAGTTAACACAATCAAAAGAGCAACATGATAGCAGTATTCCAATATCTCAGGGGCTGCCATAAAGAAGAGGGAATTAAGCTATTTTCCAAAGCACCTGAAGGCAGGACAAGAAGCAACGGGTGGAAACTAATCAAGGAGAGAAGCAACCTAGAACTCAGGAGAAACTTCCTGACAGTGAGAACAATTCATCAGTGGAACAGCTTGCCTCCAGAAGCAGTAACTGCTCCAACACTGGAAGTTTTTAAGAAGAGACTGGACAGCCATTTGTCCGAAATGGTGTAGGGTTTCCTGCCCGAGCAGGGGGTTGGACTAGATGACCTCCAAGGTCCCTTCCAACTTTACTACTATTATTACTAACAAATATGTGGATAGTTTATTTTTGCTAAAGCATTGCTTGCTACAGGAGCCTGAGAAATTAGCCCAGTCTCTACCCAGTACAGGTAGTCCTCGACTTACGACCAAAATTGAGCCCAACATTTCTGTTGCTAAGTGAAACAGTTGCTAAATGACTTTTGCCCTATTTTACAATCTTTTTTTGCCACACTTGTTAACTGAATCACTGCAGTGGTTAAGTTAGTAGCACGGTTGAATGAATCTGGCTTCCTCACAGACTTTGTCAAAGTCACGTGACTCCGGGACACTGCAACCGTCATAAATATGAGTCAGTTGCCAAGCGTCTGAATTTTGATCACATGGCCACGAGGGATGCTGCAACGGTCGCCGAGTATGAAAAATGGTCAGAAATCATAAATCACTTTTTCAATGTCCTTGTAACTTTGAACAGTCATTAAATGAATTGTTGTAAGTCGAGGACTACCTGTATAGATGATGAAGAGTTTCTGAAATCAGGCACTCATCATAGTGGGTTGATATCTAGACCAGTGTTTCTCAACCTTGACAATTTTAAGGCACGTGGACTTCAACTCCCAGAATTCCACAGCCAGCAATGCTGGCTGTGGAATTCTGGGAGTTGAAGTCCACGTGCCTTAAAATTGTCAAGGTTGAGAAACACTGATCTAGACAATCCCTGGCAGGCAACTGGATTTTTGAAAAAAGACTCTGTGATTTGAGGTATCACTGAGTGATATGAGATCTGCATCTGGCATGTTGGTAGAACATTTAATGCCGCAGCCACCAAATTATGAACACGCATATGAAATCATTCCTAATATGGCTTATAAAGAACTTTTACCATGCTCTCTATTTAGATACGTAGATGCTTTACATAAAAATATTATGCCAGGGGGCAACCTGTTTCCCAAATCAACCTGCTAACCCTGTTTTTTTAGTTGTTGTTTGTTGTTACAGTTGTTCAGAGCAATACTGTTAAGAAAAAAAAAATCATGCAATAAACTAATCAGTTCAATTTGAGGGGGGCATCAGCTTAGATACTTTCAGTTGTCGAAGAAGCTTCTACATACACAAATTGTTCTCGCTGGTTTCTCTCCTCCATTGTTAGAGGGTCATATTTTTCAGTGAGATTTCAGTGAATTTTGCAGTAAAGACTATGGGACCTTAATACTGCTACTGGAGTCACTGAAGAAGTTTCAGGATGAAACGTGCAAACAAATAAGCATACGCACATTCGTATAAACAGGATGGAAGGCAGAGTAATTTTGTGACTGCTATTTTAAACACTGAAATGAAAGATCTTTGCCCATTTCCTCTAAATCATCCAGAGAATTATCAGTCATAGTTCCATGTATATCTCTGGCCAGCTTTTCTTAGCCTTTGCCTCATCTCAGCTGGACTCGTAGGAAAAGCAAGGCAGGAAAAGCCACTCTTATGGAATGGATGGTAAAACACAAAGCAGTTAAAACAAATTCTTCTGTTGCAAACTGCCTCTTGACAATGGTAAGAGTAGCAATTCTGGTATATAACATACATGCACTTCTTGGTTTCCTGGTAGCGAGAAGGAAGGCAGATGTTTTTTTTTTATTATTATTCACTTAAAAAAAACTCTTAACATCCAAGCTACAGGGATTGCTGATGCTAATAGATAAAATTTTCCTATTTTTCTCCTCTATGGAGACTCTCTTGATAATCCTTCTGGGAGGCATGTTCATACTTACGAATTGATGCAGAGCACAACAATGTTTTTCCACAGATTTCTTGTTCCCACCACTTTAACAATGCAGACTTTTTTTGGTCTCCTGGCAAGCTCTTTCTCTAGTTCTGAAACAAAAGCAACATTTCATTATTTAAAAGGTAGGCATTTGGGAAAGAGGCAGATCAGCCCGGTGGAGAGAAGCAAGTTCTAATTAAAGCTCTCTGGCTCTTTTTTTCAAGGTTCCGTTAGACCAGTGGTTCTCAACCTGTGGATCGGGACCCCATTTGGGGTCGAACGACCATTTCACGGGGGTCGCCAAACAACGCAGTCCACCATTTTTTCCCCCTTTTCCTTAGCTGTGCTACTCCCTTTTATTCTACTGGCTTTTGAAAGCCAATAGAATAGATTCTGTTGAACAGAGTCTAATTCTATTGGCTTTCAAAAGCCAATAGGAATTGTCCAGGCTGTCTCTGCCCTGCTGAGCCCGGCAAAAGTCCCATTCTGCAAATGGTGCTGCACCAGTTGAGTAGTCCTCGACTTACGACCGGTTGGGGGTCGCGGCATTAAAAAGGTTGAGAACCACTGCGTTAGACAGTGAATTGGGTTTAAACCTTACACACCATGGTTTCTGAAGTTTGGGAACCACACAACAGAAAAAAAAGAGAAAGTAATACACCTCCCCTAATCTTGATCTCATTTCTGAATTAACAATTAATTGAACCTATTCCCCCTTTCTTTTCAAGCTATCAAAGCCTTGGGAGAGTTTTATGATTGGATTAAGGAGGCATAAATTTCAGCATTATGTTGTGATTTCTACAGTTGGAGCTGGCAGAAGATAAAATTAAAGAATTCTTTAACCCAGGTATTTGGTTGGATTACTGGAAAGGAATAAAACTTGCGTGGTCATAAAAATCTTGCTCCTGACTTCTTATTTCAGCTTGGTATAGTTTTGGCAACGTAGAATCTATTTGTTATTCCCTTCTGCCCATTCTTGGATTAAATGTTCTATCTTGTCTTCAGAGAGTTGTTAAAAATGAATGAAGCCACAAAAATGTTTTGAAATGGACACGGATTTGGAACTAAGGCAGGCTTATAAAGACAATCAATTACCTCACTGTCTTTGGCAAATTAGTAATACCAGCAATTGACCAGGCAGAGCAGGGAGATGGTTTTTTTTTTTTTTTTTTTAGGTATTTGTTACTCATCTGAAGATGAGGTTTAAGCATTTATTCTAAATTTTACATGCAAGGCTCTGTTCCTAGATACTATATAGTCACTGTGTTGAACTACCTGATACTAATATGTCCATTCAAGTTGGAATTCATATTCATTGAATACAGGAAGGAATAACTGAATAACACTATACTCTGAGACAGTTTTCTGGGGGGTGGAAAGCTATGTAGAAAAATTATTTGGATCTACATAGTGGGAGTTGATCATTCTGTTCCCTGTCTCCTTTCAGAATCAAGAATACAAAGAGATTCAACTTTCATACCAAGAAATAGCAATAACAATAATAGCACTTGGACTTATATACCGCTTCACAGTGCTTTTCAGCCCTTTCTAAGAGGTTTACAGAGTCAGTTTAGTGCCCCCAACAATCTGGGTTCTCATTTTACTGATCTTGGAAGGATGGAAGGCTGAGTCAAGTTTGAGCTGGTGAGAATCGAACTGCTGGCAGTCGGCAGAATTAAGCAGCAATACTGCATTCTAACCACTGCGCCACCATGGCTCTTATCTCAAAAGCATAGATAAATAACCATCTGAATTAGCACAGGAACCATAAAAGTACTAACAGACAATTAGAGTTCAGTGTCCACTGAAGCCATGTACTGAAAAAATAGAAGAGGGAGGCAAAACCTTCTTGATATTGTATATTTTGAAATAGGATTTTTCCATTTATTATTCTAGTACACTTTTTTCATACCTAATTCATTTGGCTTAGTTCTAACTGAATAATTTCACATCTTTTCCATTTTATCATTGTTAGTCTGGTCCTATACAGAAAAATGGTTGTCCCTTTAATTTTTTTTTTAAACATCAGCTTTAAGAAAACTTTTGCATAGCTTAAAGACTTCAATACCAAGCCATAAACACGTGAAATAAAGATAATTGCTTTGGCATGCCTGCAGATTTATTTCCCCATTCCTTTGAATCTTTGTAATTTTTGTAAAGTTCAGCCTCTCTCAAATTCTTGTGAGAGGCATCTCACAAGCACAGGAAATCCCATATAACAGGAAGAAAAGACCAAAAGAGATAATTTTTTTTAAAAATTAATCTTCTTGTAAACATTACTGACTTTCTTATGTACTGTAGCACAGATAAGGCTGAGTCAACAAAATAATCACACAGAAGGCCATTGCAGAACTGGTTCTTGGTTTTCCAAAAAAACCAAAACAACAACCCTTGTTGTTTTTACCCTTGTTTTTACCCTTGAAAAAACTGAAATACCTGTTAGGTTACATATTGGTTTTCAGTGTGACAATCCTTCACAGAAGCTTTTGTGAAAAGGAACAAGGATCTATAACTTTATTTTCAGAGATGTTTTGACACTGATCATTTTCTGATTAGGCTTATCAAGGGATTGCTGGCAAAAACATTATGGAGAGCCAGTTTGGACTAGTGGTTAAGTTACCCAGACTAGAAAGCAAGAGATCGTGAGTTCAAGACCTGTCTTGGCCATGAAAGCCAGTTGGGTGACTTTGGACCAGTCACTTTCTCTCAGCCCAACTCACCTAACAGGGTTGATGTTGTGGGGGAAACAAGAGGAGGAAGGTTGTGTTGGATATGTTCACTACCTTGAGTTATTTGTAAAAAAAAATAATAAAGGTGGGATATCAAACAAACAAACATGGCAAAACCCATCATTTAATAATGCACAAACAACATAATGACTTCTTCAAAAGGTACCTGCTTTCTTTTCATAAATATTCAGCAAGCTTTTCTGAAAATTACCTTTTTATTTATATGTCCATAACATAAAGGACAGATTGCCAGTTCTGGTTCTTGTTCAACACATCAATAAACCAGCACTCTAAAATCTAGCAGGCAAGAAGTTCTGTAATACCTCCGTCACAATAAACAATAAAACATGATCTGCAACTTTACATAGATGCTAGCATCACACCACTGTAATACAATAATAACTTGGGAACCACATTGAAGAAAGAGAGATCCCAGCCAATGGTAAAGAAATGTAGCCAGAAATTGCTTAAATTAGAACCTTTTCCATGCCCTCTCCTGTATGTTTGAAGTATATCTGAATTAGGCAATTTACTCTTAGAGGTCACACTGTTGCTGTTTTAAGGCTAAATCTATTATTGCATAATTAGACATCTACACACAAAAAAAAGAACTTCTCTGATCTCCTTCCTCCTTTTCCTTCTGTGCATTTTTAGATCTGCTCTGGGCAGTGCTCCTAAACCTTTAGAGAAGATTCAGGAGGTGTTCAAGAGTGAAGGGAAGATGAAGAACGGGAACAGCCCATGTTGCCAAAGGGATACAATCTTCATTGTGTTTCCCCTCAAATGCAGGGAGTCCTCCACTTACAACAGTTCATTTAGTGACTGCTCAAACTTACTTCGACAGCATTGAAAAAGTGACTTATGACCATTTTTCACACTTACAACCGTTGCGGCATCCCTCTGGTCATATGATTAAAATTTGGATGCTTGGGAAACTGCCTCACATTTATGACAGTTGCCGTGTCCCGGGGCCACGTGATCAGCTTTTGTGACCTTCTCACAAGCAAGGTCAATGGGGAAGCCAGATTCACTTAACAAGCATTATACTAACTTAACAAGTACAGTGATTCACTTATCAACTGTGGCAAGAAAGGTTTTAAAATGGGGCAAAACTCACTTAACAAATGTTTCGCTTAGCAACAGAAATTTTGGACTCAGTTGTGGTCATAACTTGAGGACTACCGGTATTACTTTGTGCCTGAGAGCTATGCCATGAGATCAGCAGTCTGACACGAAATAACCATTCTGAAGTCTTCAAACTGAAGGCAAGACAGCTTTCCACACATAAAATTAGTGTGACACGAGAAAGACTTCACCATAGCTTTATCTCCAATATACAAAGAACAATATCACGTAACTATATTTCCCACTGAATTCCCGTTTCCACAAATGTATTTTAAAATGGAAGTGCATTCAAATATTTGATTTATAGAACAATCTGTAGCTCATCCATGAACTAATTGTACGAGTCTCTGCCTCTCCACGAGTTAGTTGTATGGAACTTCTGTGTCTGGTAGTCTGCTCATACATTACCTCCAGCTTGGCTGCTTCCCACATCCCCCATCTGGCACTCCCTGACAACGAAGCCATTAGAGCTCCAGGACGTGCTATCCTTTTCTTTACTTCCTGACAGAGCTGTGGACAACCACCTGTGGCCTGTGAGAAGGAGCCAATCAAACAGGTAAAGGAAGAGTGGTTTGACTGACATTATCAGGGAACAAAAACAGCATTCCCTTAGTCTAAGTCACTGTCTACCAAAAGAACATTAGAAGCAGTGAATCTTTCCCTAAATAAACCAGGTCCGTGTAAAGGATTTTATTTCCTAGGAGTTGTGACTCTCTAATTCAGATCACCTATTGTCCTCAAAGCATAGAACATTCATGCGTGCGTAAACTAGGCTGACATCCAGGCAACTGAGCTCATTTACAAGCAGGGATCATCCTTATCTCCCTTCTGCAGAGTTTTACTATTTAATGACTAATGTGTATACACTGCACAGGTCTCTCAGAGCGTACTCGGGGCAAGAATTTTGCACCTTTTCTCAGAAATAAAATAAAAATTGAAATCAAACATGTACTCAGTACACCTATGTTCCTTTTTCCAGAAAAAAAAAATAAAGCACTGAATTTTGGCCGTTCAACCTGGGTTGTGCTTTAACAACCACACAAATGCAAACATAAACAAAGGCTCTGTAGGAGGCCTATATTTGCAATACAGAATAGATATGGAAGAATGGCTTTTATAGAGAATAGGTAGCAAGTATGATAAAACAGACCTGCAAGTCAGCATAAAAGATTCATCTAACAAAAAGCTCATAGACAATCATCCAGGAAGCTGCAAAGTCATGGTCTGGATTTAACATAGCTAGTTATTTAAATGTTATCTATACTGCTGCAGCTTTCTTAATCTATGTCTGCAATAACAAAGGCTAAGAAAAAGGTCTTATTGAAAATAGATCTAGCTCTACCAATAATTTGTATATCCAGAAAAATATATTAAAAATTTTCATCTCTGGAGCAGTTCCAGCATTCAGATGTCAGATCATCTGGAACATCATAAATGTCACTTTGCTGCATAAAAAGGAGCATTATATACATGTAATAAATAAGGAGAACACAGGGATGCTTTAGGACAGAGGTAGGGAACTATGACCCCTTTATGACTTGTGGAGTTCAACTCCCAGAATTCCTGAGCCAGCCACTGTATCAGAGCACAGCACAAATCATTTTACCTATTACATTTTGGAGAGTCCATTGTATATTTAATTTTTATTCTAAAGTAGCCAATGGTAATGTGGCCATTTGCTTTTACAAACATCCAGCTAGTCACTTGATTCACAAGCATTCTTCTCCCCAAAATCCAGTTCATGACAGCACACAAAATATGAATCAAAGGGAACACAATATTCAAATTACAACAGAGAACAAGACCATTTAAATAGCAAATACTATTTCATATTTCACAGTATTGTTGAGATCTGCAAGATATTTGGTGGGGAGGAAATCAAAGTATGTATGATAGGAAGGTTTGTGCAAGATGATGCTTATTCTATTGTAATTCTTGAATCTGCTATATATTTTTCATTTTACATAATCAGAGACCAAGTAACTTTCTGGGATAAATGAACATTATAGTCAATGGCTTCTAAAATTCTGCTGCGCAAAAATGAACAAAGTTACAATCTGCAGTTGTCCAAATATTTTGAGGTCAGCATTCCTTGGCCATCATTTTGAGCAAAGTACCAATTGACACAAAATTATATTCCTAGTTTTGTTTGTTCTCCTGTCTCTTTCTGGCTTTCTAAGATATTTTTCCCCTAATGGTTGTCCTCTCATTTAGTACGCATTACTTTAATTAGCTTAGGAAGAATGAGAGACATTTTCTGTAAAATCCATTGTGAAAATGTGCTTTCTTGACACATTTGTCCTTGACAAACTCACTACAGACAGGAAAACACTTAACATATGGACTTTTGAGATAGTTTAAAGATATACTTTAAAGAAGAAAAAGTATTGTGATAAGGACAAAAAGGAGAGAAAAGGGGGGGGGAGCACTAGTAATCTACCAAGACTACAGAAACAGATGTGTCCTGTTTTCTAATGTTACCTAAACAAAGTTTGCTAGAGATAAGATAGTGGTATATCTCTGCTAATGTTGTGTGCAGTTTAAGCCTTTAGTCCTGTGAAGCTGTTGATTGTTCTGTCTTGGAAGTAATGTACCCAGCTCATTTAGATTATATTAAGCATTTCAGGTAGTCCTCGACTTACAACAGTTCATTGGGTAACCATTTGAAGTTACCGCATCATTGAAAAAAGCGACTTGTGATCGTTTATCATACTTACGATCATTGCAGCATCCCCATGGTCACATGATCAAAATTTGGCTGCTTGGCAACTGACTCATATTTATGACGGTTGCAGTGTCCCAAGAGGTCACGTGATCACATTTTGCGATTTTCTGACAAGCCGTGTCAATGGGGAATCCAGATTTACTCGTTATGTGTTACTAACATAACTGCAGTGATTCACTTAACAACTGTGACAAGAAAGGCTGTAAAATGGGGTAAAATTCACTTAACATCTGTCTTGCTTACCAACAGAAATTTTGGACTCCATTGTGGTGGTAAGTCGAAGACTACCTGTACTTCTATATTCCAAGATAATTAATGAAGGATTAAGTTGTTAATGAAGTATTATTTACCCTGTATTCAGATACGGAACTTAATTGCCGGACCAAATTTTCCCCCCATGAACCAAATAATTATCTTCTCCATTTTGTTACTTAAATAACCTGAAGGAAAACTGCAGATGAGTCTGGTATGCAATTTGTTTTTTCCCAAAGCAAAGTTGAAATTTTTTAATCTGCAATCTATAAAACCATCCAGGTGCATTTTCACTGTTTACCACTCATAGCTTCCAACACTCACCAGGCATCACTCCCTTAATATCAGACTCTGTGTTTGTCCTGTTCCTGTGAGTCAAATGAAGGATGAGCTTCCTTGCAGCTTCAAACTGTTGTGTGGCCATCAGCCACCGAAGAGATTCTGGGAAGATACTTCAAAGATGGAGAATGCGTTAGCGAAGGTTCTCAAAGGGTTGCCAGCTTTTTGTTTGTTTGTTTAGTTTTTAACGTTGTCTTCTTTTTCTGTCTTGATATATTTTGTTGTCTTTTTTTAATTGAACTATGATTAACAAATATTATCAATATCTAAATTAACCTAAATCCAAGATGCATAAAGAAAAAAAAGATACAAAAAATACAAAACAAAATCTATTAAAAAGTGAGGACAATACATGTGCACATTTACCATACATTAAAGGATTGTGTTTCCCCCAAAATAAGACCCAACCGGAAAATAAGCCCCAGCATGATTTTTCAGGATGCTCGTAATATAAGCCCCACCCCCAAAATAAGCCCCAGTTAAGATTGTCAGCCAGACGGACACATTTAGTACCGCATTTCCCTGAAAATAAGACCTAACCGTAAAGTAAGCTCTAATACGTCTTTTGGAACAAAAATTAATATAAGACTTGGTCTTATTTGGGGGAAATACGGTACTATTGTTATTGAGGTAAACCATAAAAATCCATCCAGATTTGATAGAAATATGGTTCCTGCCTCTGATGTCTCATTATTTTAACTTTGCCTGTGATTTAAAGACCCACAGGATGGAGGAGAAATGGCAGGTGTCAAACTCGATTGCGTCATGTGATGTATCGCGATATTTTTTGCCTTTGTGGAGCGGGGGTGGGCATGGCCTGTGCGTGATGCATCCGGCCCACAGGCCGCCAGTTTCACACCCCTGCATTACACTATTTCTCTGAGTTTCCATATAAAAAGTATCATGGAAATCTGGGATCAAACACCTCATTTCTCTTGAAATGTTCTGTTTGGCTTCAAGCATTCACCTGTTACTAGTGAACCACTTCTGAAAGTAAAGAATCGCGGATACTTACAGCCAGTAGAGTAACATCAGCAGAAAAGGGCAGATGATCACAGCTTGGAGAATTTGCCAGTCCTTGCAGAGGGCAGCCAGCCCTGGCATCAGGAACTGTCCTGCCATTGCTACAAAGCTTGCTATCATTGTGATCATGAAACGGTGGTTAGGAGGACAGAGCTCTATCCCTGAAAAATATAAAGAACATTTTGAGAGCCATCAAAAAGGGGGGGGGGAGATAAAAGTCTTTGCAACTGTCACTCTCAAGTACTTATAAAAATAACCATACATTCAAATAGGATAATTCCTATTTGAAATATTCTACCCAATAAACTTTGCTTCAGGGCATAAAAGAAAACTGTAAAGTTACTCAGCTGCTGCTGTGAACCTCTCTCGGAGTTACAGTCTACATTTTACAAATTATTTGCATGAATATAGGTATAAAAAGATAAAAGAAGAAGGGGCTGCGCTAACATCCACTGGCTGGACACCGTAAAAAAATGACACTGAAATGTCCAAAACTGATCTGTAGAATGTAGTGTGAGACAGAGGGGAATGGAGAATGCTGATCCATAGAGTGGTCGAGGGTTGGACATGATTTAATGGCTCAGGACAACAGGTGTTAGTAATAGTTAAGGCTACATTCTACTGTATATTCCAGTGGTGCGAACCTATGGCACGCGTGCCAGAGGCGGCACTTGGAGCCCTCTCTGGGGGCACACATGCCATTGCCCCAGCCTTGTCTCCCCCCGTGACCCCCTCCTCACCAGCAGCCCCCCTGGAGGAGAGTCTCCCCCAAGTGTGGCCCATGGGGAGCAGCTTAGCCAAAAACATGGCAGCCAGGCAGCATAGACAAGAATCTGGCCTCACACTCCATCGTGCACAGTTGATGCTCTGGGGTGCGGGCAGAGGGCGTGGCCGCTATGGCGCTGCTGGGCTGCCTGGGTGATCTGCGGTAGGCCCTGGAGGCGGTGAGTGGCCCTGCGGGCAGGCGGGGTGGGGACTGGGCAGGGGGTGGAGTGGGAGCTGGGCCAGTTTTTGGGCACTCGGTCTCTAAAAGGTTCGCCATCACTGGTATATTCTGTGAATCACATCAAAACCAGTTAGACTTGACTTAATCAAGACTCATTGTTTTCAACCAAATTAGTCATAATCATCTCACTTGGCATAATCATCTCACTTGGATCCAGACTATTTTTACCACTTCGGAAAAAAGTAACATCTTTTTGGTGTTTGGGTTTTAATAGCCACTACAAATACTGAATATTCGTGTGGCATCCTAAGATACCTATTCCCATTTGAACATCCCAGATAATCATTAGTGGCCTGAATATTTGACGGTCAACAAGTATGTTCACCAAATTAAATGGCACTCACCATATTTAGAAAATAATTCTACTCTGTGTTTTGGAAATAAAGTTGAAGACATTATTGCTCTAGACCTTATCAGTCAGACTGTATTGAAAGATAACACTGGCTTCTACAAAACAATTGTTTTCAGTTCACAATATTGATAGTTCTTGCAAGCTCAACGGTTGTTCAGTTTGGCTACGCTGTACTTATTCTTCCCAAAAGGGGGGGGGAAAACTACAAATATAATATATGCACAGTTGTTTCTGCTACCAGCAGGGAACAAAAAAGAAAGAGCTGTATTTTCCATTTTGCTTATAATAAGATGCACGTAAATGATCTTGGATGGAAATGATTGCTCACACACATTGCAGTGCAAAGCAGCATAAAGGTTTGGTTAGCATTCTTTGATTTTATTTTTCCCCCTTTTTGATAAAAAAGAGAAAGAAATGCAAAAGGAAAAAAAATGAAATCAAAGAAAGGCAACCAATCTCACACTGCTTTAATACAAAAACACAGCATGGATGTAATAATATTCAATAAATTATTCCAAATTAGTTTGCAAATGAAGGCAAATACATGTGTCCCAGGATAATGTTGCAAGATTAAATCTGGGTTGATCACCGGGATCGGAGATTTACATTTCCGAGCTTTCGCTGAAGCCCAACTTCGGGGAACTTCTCTCTACTGGAATATGTGGTTTGGGCTATTCTGTGAGTCATATTTATGTGGTGCCTTCCTATTGGTTGATTGGTGTGTTGATGGCTGGCGATTGGCTGTTGTTTCCTTGTGTTTCCAAGCCCTCAGCTCCTAGATTATCAAGTACTTACGAGCTGAGGGCTTGGTAGCATGAAGAAACAACAGCCAATCATCAGTCATCAACACACCAATCAACCAATAGGAAGGCACCACATAAATATGACTCACAGAATAGACCAAAGCACATATTCCAGTAGAGAGAAATTTCCTGAAGATGGGCTTCAGCATGAGTCCGAAAGCTCGGAAGAGTAAATCTCTAGTCCCGGTGACCGACCTAGATTTAATCTTGCAAATTAGTTTCACTTATAATCCATGAGGCAATAAAATTGGACTGCATTCACCAATATAATACCATACATCACGATAGGCTTCCTGAGATATAAAGGCAAGAGGTTGTTTTATTTACAATTGGATATTTACCTAAAAGCTGTACATTTCTGTTACCTACCAAAATCTGAGGCTCAAAACTCTCTACTTGTACCTCAAAATGAATTTAAATTTGCTTAAAATCGAAGTTAATAGTACACATCTGCATTTTTTCTCAGTTTTCCAAATCGTATCATGGCATAATTTTGATGCGTACATCTCTGACTAGAGTTAAAAATTCAGCCTACATTTAATATATTTTGTCAGTTTTCCCACAAAGGTACAGATTGGAGGCACCAAAAATTTGAGGCACTCAAAATATTTCTTGGAAGCTCTCATAATAACTCCCCTCCCCCTCCTCTCATATTAATTTTTCTGCACACTTGTTGTTGTTAGTTGCGAAGTCGTGTCTGACCCATCACGACCCCATGGACAACGTTCCTCCAGGTCTTCCTGTCCTCTACCATCTTCTGGAGTCCATTTAAGCTCACGCCTACTGCTTCAGTGACTCCATCCAGCCACCTCATTCTCTGTCGTCCCCTTCTTCTATTGCCCTCAATCTTTCCCAGCATTAGGCTCTCCTCCAGTGAGTCCTTCCTTCTCATTCAGTGGCCAAAGTACTTTCAACTTCAGGATCTGGCCTTCTAAAGAGCAATCAGGGTTGATCTCCTCTAGGACTGACTGGTTTGATCGCCTTGCAGTCCAGGGGACTCGTAGGAGTCTTCTCCAGCACCATAGTTCAAAGGCCTCAATTCTTTGGCGCTCAGCCTTTCTTATGGTCCAACTTTCACAGCCATACATTGCAACTGGAAAAACCATGGCCTGGACTATACGCACTTTTGTTGGCAGGGTGATGTCTCTGCTTTTTAGTATGCTGTCTAGATTTGCCATAGCTTTCCTCCCCAGGAGCAAGCGTCTTTTAATTTCTTGGCTGCAGTCCCCATCTGTGGTGATCCTGGAGCCCAGGAAGATAAAATCTATCACTACCTCCATTTCTTCCCCATCTATTTGCCAGGAATTGAGAGGGCCAGATGCCATGATCTTGGTTTTCTGCACACTAAATCACTAAAAAAAGCTAAGTGTCTGAGAAAAGAATGCCATCAAAAGAATGCCATCATATGGGATTATATGATAACCATATTTAGACTGTGGTCAGAGCTTTCAGCCTTTGATATTAATTGGGTTGGTGATGTTGTATTTCAGCCAATAGGATTGGTTATATGGTACAATAAAGCCAAACCAATCAGGGTGGCAAAATATGAAATCATTAAACCAATTCAAACTGAGAAGAAACATTACCTTACTTTGACGGAATGTGAATTAGGAGGAAGAATCAGTAAATGACACTGGGGTATCTGTGAAATGAGTTGGGTGAACATTTTTGCTTTTATTGCACTCCCAACTGAAGAAAATCAGGATAAACATTTTAAAGGTTACAAAAACAAAATTTATCAAGTAGCCCATGAATAAAAGACGGGGGATTCTCTCTCTCCTAAAAATGCAACTATATATATATAGTAATTTATAAATGGTATGTTTGGAAAGCTAATTTTATAAAACAGGTAACACAGAGCATCAAGATTGATGGAATATGAATCCTAATTCTAATATGTATTTATTCAACTGTGAAACAAAGTGTTTTCATCAAAATAACAACACAACCTTATTGTCTTTGACTTCTGCCTCCTTCAGACAGTTCTCCATTTACAAAAGAGAAAAGGAATAACGGAAATGATTTGATACTGCATTATCCTTGTAGCTAATTATTGGCTCTTTCAAGTTTAGGTTGCAATGCAATTATCTTATTGAAATAAAAATAAATAGTTATTTCAAGATTTAAGTGAAGATAAAGGAATGTGGAAGTGAAGAAGTGCTTGATTGAATTATGTCTTAAGAGACTGTATTCATAATAGGCACAACAATTATCTTCATAACTGATAAATGCAGCATAGGCAAACGTACACACAAATACTCATTATTGCGGGTTTATTTATTTGTGGCCCAAAATATCAGCCACAACAGTAATGCTAATACTGAGCATTATGTAAATCAGCCTTCCCCACACTAATGTCTTCTGGATTATTGGTCATGTCTTGGATCTTCTTGATGTGCCCTTTGTTGTCATGTTGTTTGAGAGAAGTACTAGGTTCGGGGAGGTGACATAATGTATTTTCAAGTGTTCAAAGCGCTTCCCAAAAACATTTTGCCAATTCTTAGAACAACTATTATGAACATGGATGGTGATGAAAAGTACTTTGCATATGGCCATCCAATTAATAATGACATGAAATTTGACCTGGAAACTTTTCACATTCAAGTAGAATCTCATTTCACAAAACAGCAGTAACAGAGCTGATGGACCAATTCAAATTGGACACAAAATTTATGACTACTGAAACTACACCATACGGGATAGTGTCTCTGTGACATACATGCTTTATTTTGGTGGGGAATACTTAGCTGATATTCACTTTTGATAAGGAAGAGGACTGCCATCCCAATGTGAAACTTGTATTTGGCATCACTGATATTTCCACAACCTGTAGTTATTTACTTAGTAATAGTAGGTTCATTAACTAAACTTCCAATTTTTATTGGTCAAATTAGACTATTTTTCCTCTTGTCCTATAGTAAATTAAAGCCCATAGTTTAACTTAAATGGTGTGCATAGTATGGAAAGAACATAGTTCTTTGCATGGTATAGAAATCCAGT